AAAATGTTAGACAAAAAGAAAAATGATATAACTCATATGTGACAGCCTCATATTATGACACCAATAGCTATATCCTTCCTTATTCTCACAGATGAGAGCCAAAAAAATGCAAACATATATAAATTTACACGAATGAAACAGTGTTAGTTAATCATGAACACTTCGTACAATAATCATCTTACTGTACTCAATTTATCCAATGAAATTGTACGCACCATTTTCAATAAACTGAGCATGGTTGATGTTCTGTATTCGCTTGTGAATATGAATGATCGATTAAATCATTTAATATTTCATTCAGTTTACATACGTAATCGCCACCCTTCGTAGTTCCCCTATTTCCTATATATAGGAAATAGCTCTATATTGTTCTATACTTGAAATATAGATTGTAGTTTTCTATATTCTAGTCGTACATGGCACTGATTACTAAAATATAGAACATTAAGATTTTCACTTTAGATATAGAGCGATACAGAGCTATTTCTTATATATAGGAAATATAGGAACTACGAAGGGTGGTAATCGCAGTTGTTCAACAGAGAAGCATGCTCTTGATAGAATATGTAAAAAAATCTTACTTCGAATTCATCATCAAATACACGAGCTGACTGTTGAACGAGAGTCAATGAAACGAATTCTACGTACTACGAATCATTCACAACTTTACTCGTTATCACATATTAATTCTCAAGCAAAAAGACTTCTAAATTGTTTAACAGGTATAATGTTTTAGACGTAAATTAATCAACGCTTTCATTGTTTAAATCGAAGATGATTTTATTTTTCGTGAACTTCTTACTCAAAAAATTACAACTGTTACTATCGATATTCAGGATGCATGATTAGCAAAAGACTGGATAATTGGATCAAAAATATTTCTCTTGATTTTATCTTTATGTAAACGATTCATAACCGGAACTTTGCAATTTATACTTTTTATGATCTATTATCAACATGTTTTATGTCTTAAGTTTTAATAACTGTTTTTATCTTCTTGATGCATGTCTTGATTGTTTATCAACAATGGTGATTCATGTGGAGAACATTTTAAATTCATGGTCGAACATAAATAACACGGTAAATATGGTATTTGGTCATCGTGTTTTGAGCAAAAATATAAGACTAAATAAAAAAAGTATTTTTAATTATCGTTTCTTCGTAGAGAAAACTTCCTAAATTGAAATATTTGTTAGTGAGCTCCCTTGACTACACAAGGAATTGACATTGTTTTTGTCAGTAATTAGAATTGACTCGACTTACATTGATGGTATTCGATTACACAGTTCGATTATTTTATTCATCTTAACAGCTCCTTTCAGCGTGGTATGTTTGATAAAGTCTTGTTTTTGATAATGACTGATACACGTTCTGTTGAACCTGAGTTTTTTTAAAATAATCTCTCAAGACTTTCCTCTTCTCAAATGCTAGAGTGTAGACAAACATATGGATTATGCAGAACAATTTCTCTACGAAAAAAAAACAGGATGTAGGTGTGGGTGTGGGTGTCGGAAGATGTAGAGTGAATGAAGACCAGCACTCATACCCACACCCTTATACTACAAAACATTCTCTTTACTTTGATATTGACTCAAAATCTCAAGATTACATCAATTTCTTCAGGCATTCTTTATATGTTACACTCTCATCAACCTTACCAGTGTTCATTATTCTATGTTTTTTTTGTGTACCATATTTACATTTATGGTACTTATCCGCTATGAAAACAATAAAATCACGATTTTGGTACTATTTATCAGTGTTTTTCTCCTTTGTGTCATCGATTTATTCTCTTATCTTCGAAAATTTGAACTGATGTTTTTTTCTCTTGGCTTTTATTCTGAAAGTCACGGCAGAACGGAAAGAAAAATATTTGAATGACGTCTTCAATGTATTAAATAGGAACACGTGTGAAAGTCGCATATGAAATGGTGGTGAAAAAAAAATTTGTGTATCGTTACTTTAGCAAAATTTTCTCTGTTCTTGTATTCGTCGCGCTTCACTTGTTTCAGTAATCTATGTAAATATAAAATTGCACAACCATGATGAATGTTGATGACATATTATCAATAAACACATCGATATAAGGAAGAAAAATTTCAACAACCATTCATTTTAATGACAAATACTGTTCGAACGCAAGTGACATTTATGACTAATAAAACTCCGATGTCTATTCTGGTATTACCCATTGAGCTTGTCTATCGCATTCTAGACAATCTCGATGACTTCGAACTTTTATGTTCAGTTCGTAATGTGTGTACACGACTGAATATGATTACTGATACATACCATCGATATCAGGTAAATTTTAGCGTTATCATAGAGTCAGATTTCTTTCATCTTCGGGACATAATTTTGTTTAATAAATGATTATTTTGGATATTTTTCTTGTAAATCAACTTATTGTTTGCATCAGTTCAATATAGTATTTTGCTTTTTCTCAATAAAAGATCTTATAGAGCTATTTCTAAAAATTGAACATTATATTATATTATGTGAAACGTTGACACAAGTACTCAAATCTCTTCTAGATACATTCAGTTAGAGGTGATTCTCTGTCTGTATATAAGTTCATTTTTGATGATGTTTAGAAGTGATAAAATACTCTATATCTAGCAAAGATCGTTAATGTCCTAAAGTTTCAGTTCTCTAGCTAAGATTAGTGCATAAATGTTTGAATAAAATTAACATTGATGAATTTGCCTACCAGCTTTTCATCATATTTTTACTATGTAGACAATCATAACAGAGCGACTAATTAATGATGATAAAGTTGCTGCTATGTGAAGAACTAAAAATATGTAGTCTAGTGAACGGAAAACTTCGTAGAAATGTATTTGATACATTATTAGAATTAAAAGAAAAATTTACAAGAACAGAGAAAATTTTCGAAACAAACATATACGAAACACTTCATCAATTACAATTACTCGTAGAAAACAACTGAAACCATATTCATATACATTAATTTTTTTATAATTTACGTTTTTAAAAAATTTCTCTTGTAAAGTTTCTTTTCATCAAATGTTCATAAATAACATTGATCAATCAAGTAAAAGTTTCACAAAAGCTCAACTACAAAAATACATCTAAGTTAATCTTCTCCAGTCATTTATGCATTAGTTCTAACTAAAGAATTGAAACATAAGAACTTTAAAGAGCGTTTTATAAGTCTTGTGGCATGACCATATTAGTTTCTAGGCCAACAGAAAAAGCTCTTAATTGAATGTTTTTATATGAGTCTTCAGTACATGTATTACTCTTCCTAATAATAAGATATTCGACAATATCTTCTCTTGTAATACTAACAGGATAGACATGAGGATACGGTAGAGTCCAGCGAGACAGTCTCTAATCGTGAAAATTCTCGTGTGTCCAGAAAACATATGGGGCGGGACATTCGAGATCGGCACAATGTAGAAAAAAATCGATGTCCTGAATTTTCTAATCCTTATATCAAATCGTGCCATACACTTTTGTTTTTCTTATTTGCTTGAAATATATTAATATACATTACAGAGAAACAGACAGCAAACTAGACTTCTACTCGAGCAAAGTTCGAATAGAACATATATCTGACTGTAAGAGTCAAAAAAGTATCGAGCTCTAATTCTATATGATACCTTCTGTTTCTAAATTTTACACTTCTGCAGAAAAATACATAACGAACTTCAGTCGCATTCAGCTATATTGACCTATCTGTCTAGTTAAGAGGTGGTCAATCTGAATCGCCTATTGCATTATAAGAAAACTATTGCAGATACTATCTGAAAAATCGACGATCTTTATCAGATTGTGTGAAGCACCACCATATAACGAAATTTTCAGCTGTTACTTACTGGTTTTCGGATTTTTATAGCTTCCGAACAGAATCGCGTTTTTGAAAAAAAACATTTTTAGGTGTGCATTCGTCGCGTTTTCACGATTTTGATAAACTTTATCTCCTTTCGAAATGATGGGTAGACCTAGAGAACGAGTAATTGACTTGAGTCATGACTAATGTGTTGATAAGAAGATGATCAACCATCTCACAGAAGAATTGTTATGACAATTAAATGAGTGAGAAGCAATAGGGCCAATACTACAGTTCGTCTAGTCAGTCGCCTTTCAGTAAACGAAATAAATGGAATTTTCCGGGACATCCGAAAAAAGTCGGACTAAGGCACACAGAATTCTGGACATGAAAAAGTTTATCCGATGGAACTGCAGTGAGTAAAAATAATTTTTTTTTGCAATCTATTACAGTTAATTTTTACAGAGTTTTTAACAACATTCTGAACAAGTCTACAGTGAATAAAGTTATCTATATAACGTTTGTACTTTGAATTGAAGTAATCGAAATTTACTTCAAGAAAGTAATGCAAAACTTAGTGAAGTATGCAGTGATTCATAAAGCACGTCCAAAAGGCAACTATGACTGTCTTCCTCAATTCTCCACACAACTTTCGGCAAAATTTTGAAGGTTAGATTATTTTGAACAGCATTTTTAAATAGTAAATGAATTGAATCAATCGGTTGAACATGAGTTTTTCGCGTATAAAAATTTACGTTCAAGGTATCAACAGTCAGGAGTAGTGATGCATTTACACTAATCGACAATCTTGCCCTATTCTTTCCAGGTTCTTGTTTTTCTTTACTTTCAGACAAGATTCCTGTATTCAGACAAGATTCTTTTCGACAGAAAAGTAAAAAGAATCTTGTCTGAATTTCAAGATGACAAGAATCTCGTCTGATTAATTAGAAATAAAAGAATCAGGCAAGAATCATAAGATATTCAAGATGTATTTAACGTTCAGACCAGAATCTTTTTCTTTTCTTTTAAAAAGAATCTTGTCTGAAAATTATGAAAAAACAGAAACTGGAAAGAAGTATAAGATATTTTAAATTTCTTAGTATTCAGACAAGATTCTTATGACAGAAAAGAAAAAGATTCTTGCAAGCTTTCCAAGATCAACGGCACGTGATGTCGTCTTTGTATAATCAAATATATAAAGGCAATGTCTGAACGTTATTTATTCATTATTCATTCGACAGGTAGTACAATTCACTTTGAATATGTACTTTTCCTAAAGCGTTCATTCAAATGACATCTAGCAACTCATTTTCAATTGAATGTATAAAAAAAGTTTTTATTCGATATCGAGAAAACAATGGGATATATGATATCTTTTTTTCCATTGTTTTCAGAAAACTTACACTTATTGAACACATTTCGATATTTTACCAATCCATATCTTTCTATTTTATTTTTTTTTAGATTTTCTTTCATTATCCACAAAAGGGTTTTTTTAATGGACGAAGGAAATCTCAATTCGTTCAAAAAAATTATTATTTGATAATGCTCTTGGTAATATAGGTAATGTCTATATGCACTTTATATCTTTTTGACTCATATACTATTTTTTAGAGTCATCACCACATACAGATAAACAACGTCGATGGCGTGCCAAGAAAAAAGATCAACATCATCGTACTCAATTATCTATACAGCGTTTACTAGTTGAACAAATTATAAATAACTTATTTTAATCGAGCTAGCTCAAAATAAAAATTTTTACATTGTTCTTTTTTTTAGAATGAATCACATCAATATTCATCTGATATTAATGAAAATTTTGTTTTCTTTTTGTGTTAAAAACTGAAACTGCTTTAATAACACGTGAAATTAAAGTATTTTTTTGTTTTTTTTACATTTTTTTTGTACATGGTGTGCAAAGCTTATAATAAAATGATATGAAAAAGAGAGTAATAAGAACCTACAAAAGGATATTTTTATGTGACCAGAATCAGGCAAGAAATACAAGAAATAAGAAACAGACAAGAATCTAAGAAAAAAAGAATCAGGCATGAACATCAAGAAAAATAAGAATCAGACAAGAAAGCAAGAATACAAGAATCTTGTCTGGAGAAGAACTTCTTGCCTCACCAGCCAAGATTCGGTCTACACGAACCTTGTCAGAAAGGCAAGATCAGTTTTTTCAGGCAAGAATCTTGTATAGAAGGAATGGAAAAAGAATCTTGTCTGAAAACCAAGAAAAACAAGAACCTGGAAAGAATAGGGCAAGATCGTCGATTAGTGTATTTGCTAGTTCTTATATGATCAGCAGAAAAAAGTGTGAATTAATCAAGTTATAGTTGATAGAAATAATCTTTTCCTTTCTTATTAGCATCTTTATATGCATGCATATCATGAAATATCTTTTAGGATAATAAATAATCTCTAAACAATAAGTCTTGCTAATAAATAAAAATGCATGTTATTCGCTTTTGGAAAATTGATTTTTCGAATTGGAACATATATTATAAAATCTAAATGATATCATCTTTTTTAAATCTGTTTTTCGATATTGTTGTTATGTCTTCTTTCTCTATTCTCTTTCTACTTCATTAATATCACCGAGACAGCAACGTGACGGTATGACAACAGAATGAAACAAAAGAATAATCTTCCTTTGCATGGAATCCAACCGTGCATCTCCTGCTTACCGAGCAGTCGTATTAACCACTGTACTAGAAAGGAGTGTTTATTATTCCTTCTGTTCCGTCTTATAACTGAAGAGGAACACTTCAGTCATAACAATTGTCTAGGATTTTTCTTCAGAAACTACAAATTTTTTCTTAGTGCTAAAAGGGACTTTTCTTTACAAGAAACAATGCACTTATCTGAACAGTGTGCTACACTCGAAAGATCTCTAAATAGATTTTTATTAACATATTCGGATTGTACTTCAAAACAAATGTTTACAAATCTCTTCGTTTCTCGGCTTTGTATCATATAGTCACAGCTTATAGTAAATATGAAAATGAGACAAAGTAAAATTTTCAGCAAAAGAAGTTCCTTCAAAATTATTATAAATTTTCAATCAAAACTTGCGTCAGATTGAGCAACACACGATTTTTTAAAGAACTATTCATTCTATAGTTTAACAAAAAAGTTATTTACTTTTTCTTGAATATAATCCATTGTGTCCCAAGTCATTTCTGCTGAACTTCATTGAAGTAGGCTGTTATATTAACTTATTTTAAACAGATAAATACATGATAAAAATGCATCGCGTGCACACATATGTGATTTACTCAGTGGAAGTTTCGATTGAATATTGCTGCACTGGAGTGGAAATCTTAATTGTTGAAATTTATTAATGGCTAAATTAATAGTTGTAATACACGTAAATATGTTTTGTTTTGAATCCCAACAAGCTCACATTTTCTCATTGAAATCAATCGTAATAGTTCGGTACAGTATTTGTAAAATGTTTCTCTTATGGATAAAAGCTTTGAAAACACTAATATCATCGACGAGCAAACACTCCCATTTTATTGAAACGGACTGAGTCCACAGAGTGGGTCAAAAGTAAAGAAACACGGAATCCTTTTCAACTTTTTTTCTTTATAAATCGATAGTTTCATCTCATATTAGGATCACATATGTTAGATGACAATACTCCGAGAAAGAGTCACTCGTTAATCTTTCGCTGTAACCGTTTACCGAAAAACGTACGAGTGTTTCTCATACACTATTATATGAATGTCGTATAAGCCAACTATTATTCAGTTGCAGTCAATATTTTTTACCATTATATATCATTTTAGAGTAGTTTCCTATCCAGGAAGCCTAAAACGATGTAAAGATCACTAGAATTCAAATTTCTTGGTATATTTTGATGCAACAAGCCAAAAGATAGAAAGACACCACTACAGAAAAATTATAAAGTTGTGTGAGAGTCATATGAAAAGATATGAGAGACATTCGCATGCTTTCAATAAACTCTGACAGTGAAAGGTTAATGATTTCCTATTTTTCTGAGTACTGTCATCTAGTATATGTGATCCAGATATATGAGTTCACTATCGATCTATAAAGAAAAAATCGACAAGAATTCGGTGTTGTCTCTCTTTTGACTCATCCCGTATTCGAAATTTTTATTGTAATTTTATTTGTGGATCACTCTACTATCTTAACGCAAATTCTGCAAAATTTAGAAAGAAAGCGTCACGTAAGCGCATACTATATTAATTTGCGTATTCTCCGTTGCTTCATTCTAAGAAATATAGTACTGATTTCAATAAATTATGTTGTTGAAATCAATTATAAAACATATGTAGCATTATTGTTACTATTAGACTCAAAGAGTTACTGTAGTTACAATCTACACTATGAAAATCGTCTATTTTTTCCTATAAAAATTCATTTCTCAGTAGCATCAAAAAAATAACATCTGATGTTTTCAAACGAGAAACACAAAATCATTTCTGAATGAATATTCGAAAAGATTGCTACATGCACA